TTAACTGGGAATACAGCAGCATCCTGAAATCACTTATGCTTCTCATTTTTTGTCAGCTAAAAGACCACTACTTCAGGAGTCTTTCACTCTTCATTTTGCTGCAGCTTTCTGTTCCCTTTTCCCCCAAAGGAATGGTGCAAAAGGATTTAGCGTGGCAGAGTGCCTGGCCCCAGAGAGCAATATTGTGTATAGTTGATGTGACAGCCACGCTGTGTAAAGGAAAGGTCTAATCATTTTTCCTCTGGTCATCTGAAACATTCACTGAAAATACAGATAAAAGCCTACAGAATTGAGCCCTAATGAGTTCATGCAATGGAACTAAAAAGAATGTTATCACAACATATTTTTAAGCAGTCTAAATATTTTTTTTTTTCTCAAGTGGAACATGCTGTTGAACCTATGTGCAAAATCATCCCTGATCATCTCTGTACACAGTCCATCACAGAAATCTATGAAATGCAATAAAGCTCTTTTTGGGCAATTTCACTGTCAGAGAAGAATGCAGGAAGGGTGGAAGACCAGCTCTCTGATGGAGTAATTTTAGATTTTATTGTAATGCCTGCCAGTGAATATTCCACATGCAGAGATTTCTAAAGCAAACTGTGAAAGGCCGCAGCCTGCCCTGTAACCCTAAAAGGATGTTGAGCTTGGCAGTCTTCCAGGGCAGCAGGATGTGTGGCCTGGATTAGAACAGGAATATTCCTAACATTCATTGCTTTTTAATGATGTCATGCTTGCTAGCTATTGCAAGTCCTTTATGCTTTCCTCTGTAAAAGCCTTTCTAATACTACTGAAACTTCCTGATGAGAAAACATTTCAAAATAAGGCTATATGTTTCACATCCATGCAATGATAAAAGTACAGAGCTGCTAAAATATGTAGTTTATGGAAAGAGTAACTCAGCCTTGATGATTGTATTGTTATTATGTAGTGTGTCAAATACTGTAAATGCAGTCAACAATACGTGTTAAATGGTTATTTTAATGTTCCTGATTTTATCAATATAAAACTTTACATTTGAACGGTCTTGTTTTGCTTTTCTTTATATTTTATCTAAGCATACACACCAATGTTGAAAAAAGGGAAGGTTTCATTTAATATTGCAATTATTTTTTTTCAGGGACTAGGTAATCATCAGATTACAAAATAAAATATGAATACTCACAATTTGTGAATGAAAAACATGATCGATTCTAACAGGATATATGAATTCTGGGAATCAACACATTTATTGCATTATAAATTATAATTGTTTTGATTAATTATAAATTGCTTTTAGTCAGTTACAACCACCAGCTACACAGGAGAACAAAACAAAAGTGGAAACATGTCCCTGTTTCCTGTCTGCTGCCTTCCTAAAATCTGGTCAAGCTTAGTTTCAGCTGAGTGTAATCAGGTAGCTCTTTCTTGGGAAGATGGGAGCCTTTTAAAAAATCAATACATAAACTCTGCTTTATTTCTCTGGAAACTTATTGTTATATATAAACAATATATTTATAATATATTACATTATTATCATCTATATTCTATATAATTATATAATATATAACTATACACAATTATATTAATATGTATATACAATTGTTATATTTCTCTGGCAACATTTATATTGTTAAATAAATCTGATATGTATTTTAAAGTCTAATGTGACAGAAAGACCACATTTATTTTCTTTGCACCAAATTCTCTAAGAAGTTTGACAGCATCAAAAGATTTAAAAAAGTATCCACAAAAATGACATAATAGCAAATACCTATTTTGTGGGGAAAACAGAAAGAGACTAAGGAAATATTCCTTGTTCAGAGCATAGAAATGTGTCAGGACAATCAACAAAGAGCAGGATAACCACCTGCATCAGTACAGGCCAGGAATATGGGCCCTAACTGAGAATTACTTGGGCTATGGCAAGTGGCACACTGGATACAGCCAACAGCATGCTCTGTCATAAGTCAAACTGCTTATTTGGCTACAACTGGAGGACTGCAGTGGCTAGTTAATAAACTGGAGGTAGTATCCCCACTAGCCAGTGCTGCTGAGGCTGCTCTTGGAACATGTGTTATGGGACACCTAATTCAAAAATGTTGTTCAGAAATCACACGGTCCAGCAGAAAAATTACTACTATGCCTCAGGACCTGTGAATAAAATTTTAAGATGCTTGGCTCCTTAAGTCTGTCAAAACTGGAAATTGAGGCAACCTAACCCAAACATACAATATGGAGCTGCAAGTGTGATGAGGCTGAACTTTTCTTGGTGGCAGGAGTTGATAAAACAAAGCACAAGATCTACACGCTGCAGTTTGGGAGGAGTTTCGGGCTGTGCATCAGGAAAGGTTTCCTCACTTGGAGAGTATGGCAAGGGAACAGGTTACTCAGAGAGTGGCTTCTCCGTCTTTAGAGCTTTCCACGACTCAACTGGACAAAACCAGGGCTAACCTGACCCAGTGTAGTGACTAATCCTGCTGAGAGAGAGAGAGAGGCTGGAGTAGACCTTCAGCTGCCGCTATTGCCCAGCTGGTTGGCTATCCCGGGACTTGTATCCAGGGTCAGATCTGCAGTCCTTAACAGCATCCCCTTGGGCAATACCCAGGAACAGATGCTTTGGAGGACAACACACAAGCCCCGCTACAGATAATTATAGAACAATTTGCTTCAAGCTAAAAGTTTATTGCAAGCATAATGAATTTCTAAGAATTTATTGTAAAAGCAGTTTGTAAGAGGAATGTTAAGACTTTGAAAATGCTTTTAGCAGCCTCCTTTTATTTTAAACACACAAGCATTCCATACCAAGGGTTTCCAGGAAAAAAGGTCTTTAAACCTGAAATCTTGGTCTTAAACTCCCCACCAGGAGTAAAAGCTCTGATTCAGCTGATTCATGTTAAAAAAAAGGCAAAGGCTTCCATTTCAATCCAGCCCTTAAGGAGCAGTTAGTAGCAATTAGAAAATTATTGCCACATCAGATCCTAGGACTATGCCTTGAGGGAAAAGCTTTTGACAGAAGACCACCGTTCCTCTGATCTTGCTGCCAAAAGGGGTAAGCACTGCTTTCTTAGTCACACGGGAGAAAATTGGTTTGGCCTATGAATGGCAACCCTTTGTACTTAGAGACTAACACTTGCCTGTCCATCTAATCAGATATTTAAACATTTGTTAATGTAATGCCACTGGACTAAGATTTCAGGAAAGTTATTGGAACTACTTGAACTTTCCTCCATTTGTACTTCTCAATGTTTGTGGAGATTTAGGAAATGGTTTAGTAAATATCTCAGCCAAATTATATCACTTGTTATAGATATATACAGTTCTAAGAACTGTACATGAAAGTAGACTTGGCAACTATGAGGAGTAGCATAGACATTACTAATTGTAGCTCAGAAAGACAGATATAAACCAAATTTCTCACATTTCAATATCCCACAGTCACAATTCTCTTAGTCTGGTTCATGACAATCTAATTTTTCTTATTTTAAAACCTTTGTAAATGGTGTATACCATTCTGGTTTGGTTGAGGGGGGTGGGGAACTGGTTCTTTTATTAACATTTGTGTTGATCGAGTTGCATCTAAAGTGTATTAAATGTTAAACATAAAACGCTTTAATTTAGCTTATTTTAGAACAGAGAACAAAAATCTCTTCACAGTATGAGATGCTTTCATTTTCCTTATTTGTATATCTGGAAGTATATACGCACTTAAAACACTATTTCAAAACCAGATATGACAGAAATATTATCATTTTGTTCCACACAGTATTTTACCCTATTCACAAGTTGCTCAAGGTCTCACAGCTCAGATTTATAGGGGAACTTCTGACAAGTGCAGTGACACTAATTTTACAATCAGTGAAGCTGTGTCAGGAGTTTCTTTCCAAAATAACATCTGGACATATTTTCATCTGAAAGAAATAGCTGTATTTCTCTTGAGCTGAGCAGTCATTTAGGAAAAACTTTCAATGACCAGTGCTGTCAGTACATTGTTGCAATTAACTTCCATATGCTCACTCCAGGTAACTCCTGCTTTGTGAGCCATACAACTCCACATTGCTGAAGAGGAATGACATCTTTGGCCAAAAACAAGTATTCTTCTGTGGAATTTTCCCTGTAAAACCTGAAGTAAATGCATCACAACCAATTGCTTAGTAGGACAGAACACATTATGAAAGCAAAGATTGTGCTTTAGTGCAAGATTTGGCTGGTTTTGGCAACAATTTGTATTTTGGATGGAGGAAGAAAGGCAGAGCAATTGAGAAATGAAAAATCTATTTTTTAGTAATGCAGAAAAAAAGCTCAATGAAGTTTTTCTGTACTTTAACTCACAAATGTATATCAAAGTTTCAATTATAAATTTGTGTTGGTAAAAGGAAGCTGGCACACATGACAAGTGGAATTAGTATTTTTGTATGTTGTTTTGCTTTCTGGCTGTTTGCAGGGTCAGTAGGATGTATTGTCATGCACTTATATCTAGCATCCATTCAAAGGAGAAAAATAAATGCTGCAAGTGGAAGTGGAGTGCTACTGTCTGTAATCCCAAGGACAAACGTTCACTAAGGTATTCTTCTCTTTAATGTTCTCAAACCCACTAACAATTTAGCACTGGTGACTGGTTCCAGAGCTAGAATATCTTAGGATTAAAGTAGAAAAAGTGGAAAATATAATTTTTAAAAACTGTCAGACCTGCATGGTTGAGTCAGTGTCTGTTTGCATTATGTCTGGCACTAATACATGATATTAATAATTCACCTTCATATCACCAAATTCACATCCTTTGTTTCCTCTCTGCACTTCTAATGGACTCTTTTTCAATTATGCATATTCTTCTTATCCATATGAACAAATGTATTTGAATTTAAATGTATAGACTTATAAATGGAAATAGACTTTTATTCAGATATACATGTTTTTATCAGGAAACAAACTTGACTACAATTGGGATTAGTTTAGGCCAGGCAGCTGGTTTATGCATATATAACAGTGTGAGAACAGCAAAAACAGCTCCAGACTCAGTGGAACCTTAAACCTTTCTATGTCTTTATTTGTGCACCAAACCCCAGGAGTGTTGCTGTACATAAGAGCCTGAGTCAGGCAGTTGTGAACAGTCTGTACAGTTGATATTGCTATAGATTAATGCAAGACAGCTTCTTTCTTGTCATTCGTTCCTCACCTCTGCTCTTCTGCTCTCTCTTCATCCCAGTCTGGGCATCTGGTCCACAAGCTAGTGCTGTGCTGCTTTATAGTTGCTTTCTTTAGCCTGTGGCATTCATGTGCACATCTGGATCTACATCTCTAAATTCTGCACCTTTGTCTTTCTTTGTTATCTATGTGGTTTTTTTGTAGGTAGATGAGAGATGAGAGGTAGAAAACTTGCATGTGGAAATCAGAAATTCATTTAGTAGCAGTGATGTAGCTATCTTCTCCATGGTCACACTGACACAGGATCCAAATACCTGTCCTGTTTCATTTGCATCTGCCACCATGGAAATAAATTATTCAGTCGGGTCTCAGAGTCGGCATTGAGGAAGCAGTAGAAAAATGTTAACAAAGGAAAACAACAGCACAATGTTCCACAGACCCCTTCCAGGATCCCCTTTATTCCACAGCATCTCCAGAACTGTTCAGTCACTGCCATCAGGGGGTACTGCTGACCTGGGATGGATCCTCATGGCAGAGGAATTTCTTTTGCCAAATATTCTGAGAAATGTGACTCTCTTTTGAGTCTCCACAACCATTATCTAGCAGTCTAGATGTGGACACTAGTATCTACATCCAGATCACGAAGACACTTTTGTTTTGCAATTAAGCAGTTTTTTAAGGGAAATAAATATATAAATAAATAAATAAATAAATAAATGGAAAAAGGACAAATCTTTAAACACAGCTTGGCAATGAACTCATGACCTACAAGAATCTGTAGTCCATTAGCAATCAGTGACCCATCAAGATCTCTGCTCTACAGTCCTCATTATCTCACAGTTAATTGAACTCCTGCAACATGACATTTATTTATTAATTTACTTGAAAAGAAAAGGGCATTAGGACTATTTTAAAATGTGACTAAGTCAGTTGTTCTAAGACCCCCATCTTTCAAAGGCTGTCATTTAAACCGAATAATATAATTATTTGTAATTTTCCTTATGATTCAGTGTTCCTTAAAGGAAATATCATTGATTGCCTTTGCATGTTCTGTAAGAAGTTTTTCCACCTGTTGTGACATTTAAAGTCTTTCTCTGGGCACAGAGAAAGCACCTACCCAAGAAGATTCACTTAAAAGGAAAAGTGGGCTACACAGGGATCTGTTCCATGCCCTTATGGTCTCCAGCTCGAAATTCTTCCTGAATGTAGAGATTAACCTCAAAGCAGCAGCTTAGCTCTTTGCCCTCTTCCCTCCCTGGAAAGGAAACTGTCACTTCCAACTATTTCAGAACGTTAATTCTGTAAAACAGCCATGCTGCAATCCTGCAACAATGTGCAGTTTATTCTGGGTGGCTCTGGAATTGCCTCTGACTCCTGCTCATTTCCCAATAATTACTGATAATTACACCACTCAAAACAGAGTGAAACACAACAGACTCTTTCAAAGCTGTAGAAACAAAGTTTGTCCAGAAACTGACCTTCCCGTTTGGAGGTGAGAGGAAGTGTGCATGGAATTATATAGGCAAGATGAGTTGCTTTCTAACTCGTTTTGATAGAAATCAACATGCATAGGCAGGAGGAAAACCAAGGCAGTAGTTTTAAGGAGCCCCAGGCAGCAATTTACGTGCAGGCTTAGGTTTATTCAGTGGCTTTAGGAGCTGTCGATGTTTCGTCTCGCCTGTTATCTTAATATACTGCAACAATGGCAATGATAAACAGCATACATTTAATATAAACCCTTCTTTGCTTGTTTATAGAAAGAGTTTCTTTGGTCAGCATATAAATGTCTTTGAGATCTTTTTAATATCCATTGCCAGAGGAAAAAAGGGGGAAAAAAAGGCTGCTGGGGGAGCTGGGGAAAACCTGCCAAGTCTTACACAGCGAAACATTTTTTATGGCATTTCTCCTTTTACTGAAGACTGGTTTTACAGCATGTTTGAGCAAGACACTCAAAATCACACCCTTCCTAAGTTTCTTCACTCACCCTCAGTGAAATGTCCTTGGCAGAGGCGAGGGCCCTGTGAGCACTCGGAGCCGCAGCGCGGGGCTCCGGCAGGCCGAGGCCTTGGTGCGCGCAGCCGTGAGGGAGCCGGGCCACAGCGCGGCCTTGGGGCGAGCGCGGCGCTGCGGGCCTTGCCCTGGGACACTCGGGCAGCCTCTGACGCGGGGATTCCTTCAGCAGGAGAAGTGACGGGCACAGGGGCCTTGGACTGCAGACAGCGGACACGGAGCGCTCTTTGTGTGCATCACACACACGCACGAGTGCTCCGCGCGGCTCCTGCACAGCCCTCAAACACCGAAAAAGTTAATCAAAAAACACCTTTTTGTAGGAAAGCTGTACGGATAGCTTTGAGATACTGCTTTACCACCTTTAAAGGGAATAGAGAGCAACCAACTGAATTCCTTAGCTTTTCAAAAATAGCTCCACAGCTGGTTAGATTCATTTGTTTCTTTTTGGCATTCCTCCCCTGGAGGCAGTAAACATGATCAGCTGCTGTCCACTGGAAGCACTACAGAAACAGATCTATTATTATTATTATTATTATTATTATTAGACCTCCAGAGATACTGCATTCAATTTGTCAGTCCCATCATTCCCTCAAATGCTATGGAAGATTTGATGAATACTGGACTCGGGACTGTCAATACACTTATAATTTTATTGTGTCCCACAATGGCTGAGCAATGCTTTAATATTTCTGTGGAAGCCATGCTGCACCTCAAACAGAGGACATGGGCTTCATGAGGAAATGATTGAATGGAGCTTTTTGCTTTGTCTAACACAGAAGCCCAGAGAAGAGACAACCTTCTCCGCTTCTGAATGCACAAACGTGTTTTTTTATGATTCTAAGAATTCTATAAACATGAGTGTAAGTTTTTTAATATAGATATGTCTAGCTATTCCAATTGTAGGTCAAACGTGGAAATAACAACTTCAGTGCCACTGAAGTACCCTCACATGCCTGTGAAATTCTCCCCTCTTCTTACTAACACACACAGACAAAATTAATTTTAATGTAATTATTGTAAAAGCTAAAAATCAGGGAGGGAAGGCTCTCTTCTGCCTGATCACATAATTATGTAGTAGGGATTAATTCCATTTTAGCCAAAATAATTCAACATCTGAAATATATAAGCCTGATTTTACTTAAGAGATTCAAATGTAATAATTTTTAAAAAAAAAATCTTCTGACAATTAGCAGAGCGGTATCCTTAAGCAGGATCAAGTTGGTGGACCAGCCTAGTAGATTTTAGCTCAAATTTCACATTCAGTTGGTGGTAGAAGACCAAAAGAGTCTGTAATTGATGTTGAGGTGTGGTGCTTTGTGAAGAAAGGGAGAATAACCACCAAGAATCACATTTGATCTGTCAGCACTGTCCACTAAAAAGAACAACAAAACCACTAGAAATTCATCAGTAAATAAAAAAAATCAAGGAAATTTTGTGTTGGTCAAACCATGACAGATATCTTCCCCACAAAGTATATTTACTGATTATGAGATGCATGCCATAGGTTTCCAAAAATACCACTTATGAACCAGGACCAGGAGCTGGTCTTCTCATACCTAATTTGATTGGATTCACACTTATTTCATAGATAATAGCTACCAAAAGGCATCTCAGTCTGTCAGGTATTTGGGCTGAATTTTGTAGTCACACATCCTCCCTGTAAGTTTTCTTGTAAACTCGCATGGTTCAAAATCTGAAATTCTGAAATCTGAAATCCTCTGACACGGCTAAACTTCATTTTAGGTGGCATCTGGTGCTTTCATAGAAGAACTGGAAGATAAGAGTGGCAGAAGCAAGTTTAAGCATTGAAGGACATTGGAGAACAAGTCAGACACAATTCCTGTGAAAGGTCCATGGAAACTTGAGCTGCTGGAGTCACTTGTGACCTGATGTGTTTGGGGACCAGAGTAAAAGGGTGAAGTGATACAAGGTTACACTGAAGGCTGCTTGAGAGGTCTTTGTTCTTGTGCTGGTTTCTTATATCTAATTTTTTTTATTTTTTTGGTCTTTAGGTTGGAAACTTAAATGAGAGGACAACTTACATAACTGCACTCAAGGGGTTCCAAATTCAAGGTGAAGCAGATAAATAATGTGTAAAGAAATAGCTGTGGTTAAAAAATTAAAATAATGAAAAACACACAGCTGTGTGTAGAATATTAGCCATAATTAAATTCAATGTAGAAGTAATGATTTTGACATTCTTGTGAAACAACCTGACATGCTGTGGTTTTATGTTATAATTTTAAAGATTTTTTTTAATTGATTCCTTTAATTGAAAAAATGGATTTTTCAATCTTCATCAATTTTGCTCAAGACTGAGTTGTTACTCACAGTGAAGACTTGACAAAAAAATATTTAAAATTTACAAAAATTACTATTTTAATCTAAGACTGAGTTCTTCTTCTCAGAGCCATAAGAAAAGGACTTCTCACTTTCAAAGTTATCAGAAATGAAGGCCCTGAAAGTAAGACACAAGAGGTCAACCTATTTAGGCAGATTTTAGCAGTGAGCTGGACTGTCCTGTTTAGTAGTAGTACCATGTTCACATGAACATACTTCTGATTAAACTGAAGGATATGGTGTTTTAGGAAGCAATAATTGGATGGGTTTTCCATTGGTTATAATGAAAAAGTAACCACAGTAAAATATCATCATGCATGGATCAATGCTATAGCTCAAATTTTTATTAATGCTGTGCTTTCCCAACATGAATTGACTCCTGGTTTTGATTGCTTGAAACAGATATATAGAAGTGTATAGCTGTGTATAAAGGACACTTTAAGCTGGACTAATAGCAATATAAATATTGTATATAATTATGTAAAATGATGCAAATAGCACTGTGCATTTGATTCCTTAGACAGGAGGTAAGCTGTGTTTCCCACAATGAATTTGGCAGTGGGGAAGTGCAACTCTACAAAAGAGAAAGGGGCAGACACTGAAGTCACTCTGGTGAAAATGGCACAGCAGCAACACTGAAACCTCCTGCACAGCTGCTGAGAGAAATAAATTCCCAGCCAGTGGGTGCCAGGGATGAGGCAAACAGGCAGGATGTTTCTAGAGAAAGGGGGTCTCAGCATGGGGAACCATGTGACAGGAGAACACTTTCATGCAGCAGAGGAGCAGGAAATAGGATGTTTTGAGGGAAACAGAGGAAGGAAACTGACAGGCAGAGAAACAAGTGAAGGGGAAGAAAGGAAAGAAAGCAGATGAGGAAGAGATGAAATGAGGAAACAGTGTTATTAACTATTATAAGATCTGTTTTTTTGACAGCTGAAAAAAGGTGGGTGGTTTTTTGTTTTTCTTGTTCTTACAGTTCCTTTTAAGTCATTGCTAAAATTACCACAGGAATTTAAAAATGGGAGTTTCCCAAGACATTCTTTTTAATAATTAGTAATTGAATTTGAGAAACCATTGTGAAATTCTTTTCTTCAATAATCTGAGGAGGGCTCCTGAAGTAATTTTAGATAAATAAAGTAGGCTTATGCTTGTGCTTCATGCTAAGACATTATTTCCTTGCAATTACTGTTACTGTATACTATACATAGAGACACATAACTTTATGATATTGTCAGATACTCCTGATAACTGAATAGGATGTAAATTTTGGAGTTTGGACATTTTTTGGGTTTTATTTGTTTTGATTTTTTTTTTTTTTTTAATGGAATTTGTCACCAAAGAGTGGTTTAATTAGACCATGACCAAAATAATACACTGGGTTTAACTGGAAGCAGTTTAAAATTTCAAGAACCCCTAAGTCAATAACTTTTATTAAGGAATCTATGGCAAGATGATATGTCTGTGGCATGCACACAGAGAACAATGATGTCAACCAATTCATTTTTCTTTGAAAAAGGAAAGAGTAACATTTTGACATCACTGTCCTATCCAGGGCACAACATCCAGCCCGTCAGTGCTATGCAGTGACTCACAGAGCACGTGCTCCTCTGACCGAAATGCAATGGCTCAGAAGCCGTATCTACTTCACAGCTGCTCTGCCTCCTCCAGGCTGTGTGTTTATGTGTATACGAAAAACACACCAGGAAAAAATATCATACCATCATATTGAATCATTCCTGCTCTTTTCTCACACAGAACATCCTGACACACTGTAAACTCAGTTGAAAGTGTGTCAGGGCACTGCCAAATGCTTCTCCTGCAGCACTGACAATTTGCCATGAACTCTATAACCATTGCAACAGAAACTGGAAAAGGGTTTCCTTGCTGTTTCCTTACTTTTTCTGCTTTTTCTGATCACGTAGGATTACTTAACTCGGTATTCTTATTAGTTTTGGATTATGAAAGGGGAGTCATACTGACTTCACACATACATCAGGCTTAAAAGCTTTGGTCTTTAGTCTTCTAAGTTAGGAGTTTGCTACACATATTTAGCCATAAAAAATTAATAAATGTGACAGTGAGGCATAAGATGGGACATATTTCCTCTCAGTGGTACTAGTATCACTTCGATATTGCAAAGACATGGCCAAGAACAAAATTATTCCCCATAGTGCAGATTGGTTATGGTAACCCAAAAACATGCAAAGGGTGAGAGAAATCTTTATGTATCACAAATATCCTTCCTCTGTTCTGTGGTAATAATGCCTCATAAAAATAGTTATGACTTGGGCATCTCAGCTTCCCTCCAGTTTTATTAGCTTTCTTTTTACCATTAAATGTTAATAAAACTTCAAGGTGGAGCTTAGAGCAACAGAGCTCAACTTCGTGCACAGAGCTTTGTATTTCAATTAGTGATGGGCTGTCTCAAAAGGTTCAAGTTTCTGTTTAGGACATAGGAGTAGAAGAAACCTTGCTTGGATCACCACCATCACAGGAAAACATGTTGCTATAGTCTATTCATAAATACTTTTTTTCTTAATTTTGAACCAAATTTAGAAATTCTCTCTTACTATTCCACCCTGAAAGACATGCTAGAATTTTGTTCTTCTGCTCATTTAGCAGTTTTCTGCTCTTATCCTACCTAATCATACTTTGTGACCAACGCTGCTCATTTTTTGTAGAATTAACTAAACCTTGGCTTTGAAAGTCTTCGTTCTTCACAGTTCAATCTATTAAAATATAAAATCCTGGAAATATTCACAATGATTCAAGGAAAAATATATAAAAATATCTTCTTTTCGATGAGATGAAAAAATGATACCCAGAGAGAGGGGATGTAGAGAGACAATATAACAGGCAAGTATAGAATGATCCTGCTTCTCAAATATTTCTGTCTCTGGCAACCAGCATTTTAAGTTTGAATTGGAAGCAACATACAGACCACTGTGATTAATAGCCCCTCTGCTATGGATCCATTTAGTCCTTTATGAATCCAGTGATAATCTTAGCTTCCACAACATCCTGTAGCTGTGATTTCCACAAAGTAATTAGGTACTATAAGGAAAACTACTTATTTTGTTTGTTTTAAAAGTCCTGGTCATCTCTATTCTTTTAAAAATTAGAGTGGACAGTAGTTCCCTAGAACACTCTTACATATCTTTTTCTATTTCAAAGATGCCAATCAAATAGACACTAACCTGTAGATAGTAGATAAAGCCCATGTATAGACAGACTGCAGGATAGACCCCATTACCAAGCATTTCTTTTCCAGGCAGATGAGTTTTAATCTTCCCTCCAACAGATGACAATGTAAGTTCAATCCACTTTGTCATTGTACAGATGGGATCAATATAAATACACATTGGACCCAAGACAGATTATTGTAACTCCCATCAGCATGTAATAGAGATTTATTCAGTTTATTTTTTTGTTCTCAGTATTTTCTTAATAATCCTAACATTTTGTCAGTGTCACATGCTACTAAGCAGAAGTTTTCAGGGAAGTGTGCACATATGCTTATTAAGACTCTTTCCTGCATAGCCAGGAAATTAGGCTACCTTAGATTCCAGTATTTTGCACATATAACTAAATGTCAGGGGAGAGCCACTGTGTGCCTTACTTTGACTTCATTGGCAATTAATTTCATATGCTTCTTATTGTTCAGTCACTTAGCATCATTTGATCATTCTGTAATTCTTCACTGTCAGGAATAATTGTGTTTCATAAGGAATACTTGTCACTTCATTATTTCACATAGTTTTCAGGTAATTTATGAAGATGTTGAACAGTTCATGTCCTAGCAGGGAGCCTGAGAGATTTGAATATCTCTCTCCATTGATTTGCACCTTTTGTTTCCTAATTATTAATCACATCATAATTGTTCAAGAACACTTTTCCTCTGTGTCACTTTTCCCGTGACAGCTTAAATTTTTTAAAAATTCTTCTTATGCATGGTCAATGGCAAAATCTTTCAGTAATTTTAAGAATTCTCTGAATTCGGACTCTTCATATGTTCATTGACTTCCCTCTACAAAAATCCTTGTGAAGTTTTCTGGTTATATAGGAGTGATATCCAGCATTCTCAAACACTATGTTTAAAACGTAAGTCTCAAACGGCAAAGTCAGTTTTTAACTTTCCACCTAATGCTAAAGAATTATTCTGACTTACCAGGCAAATCCCTTGGGTGCTCCACTTGGGCCACATTTGCATGGCCAGAAGGGTATGCCCCAGTTGGGTGTACCCCTGCCACAGGGATGGTACTTTTCACATGGACTAGGTGATGATTACTCACCCAGGGTGAAGAGAAGCTGTGTATGAGCCGTCCTGTGGCCTTGGGAGGCACAGAGCCTGTGCTCCAGGTTCGTGCGTCAGCCACTAGATGATTCCATGTCCTGGGCACAACACACATCCGTCCTGTCATCCTTTTAAATCCCCTCTGGATAAACATGTATACAGGAATCTTGGGCTGAAACAAGTCATAAAGGAGAAAAACAGTTAGTGCTAGTGCTAGGTGTTGGATCTTTATTTATCAATAACGGAATGGGGCTATAGGTAGGCACTCCGTGAGTTTTTTATTCAACATCAGCCTCATCGGTATAAGGTGAGATACAAAAGATGTTGAAAACTTGTACCATTATAATAACAGCTAAATTCTTTTAGGTTACAATGCCTTTTTGAAAACTTTCTAGCCAGTAGCACAATGTTAAAAGCTTACAAGTGTTTGCTTAAGCCAATCATCAAGATTACATGTACACTTTGTTTTTAGCAAAGCTTGCTTGTTATAGTTTAAAAACAATGGATAAAGCTTTATTATTAAATTTACATTTTTATATTAACTCGCTTATTATATTTTCTAAGGCCTATCTTTACTTTCACACAGCTTCTGAGAGTTTTCCAATTTTTCAATTTCCTGGAGTAAAGATAAGAGAAAACTTGGGATTCCCAGTGACCTTTTGATGCTCTCAGTCTTCCCTTATTTTTGAAATGAATGCAAGGTCTTTAGTGTCTTCTGTAAAATAAGTTTTCTGTCTCCTCAGTCATCATCCTCTTCTCTTTCTGTCTATCAAGTATGAGAGATTAATGCATTCTGGATGAAATCATACCAGAGCCTTATGCAAGAGTATTTACAGCTTTCTTATCGGTACTGGAAGTAGCCACCCTCCTATAAGCAAGACAATCCATGTGGCCTGGACATTTGCATTACCATACATTTATGTCAATCAACCATCTTAGTCTAAAAACTGAGAAAGAAATAGAAAAAATTGTGTTTTGATTTGAGCCTCATTTCTTTCCCCACTTCCTAGAAAGTTTGTTTCCTTCTTTTTTCTGCTAATAAGGCTGAGAAGCTTTACATTATTTGGTTTAACTTCCTTTGCAATGACTAGCTGAATTAGAGTTCTGGCAAGAGTTTTGGACTTTATTCTTAAATTTCCTGTTCTCCAAGATGTATTTCTCATGATTTTTCCACTCCTTATAGAGTCTTACTATTCCTAAATGAGTCTTATTATTCCTAAATGAGTTTTATTATTCCTAAATGAGTTTTATTATTCCTATGTGATTTTTCAGTTATAAATCAAGACTGTCCCATTGGTTTTGAGTCTTATTTAAAAAGATTCCCATCCTTACAAATTTCTGGGGCTTAGATAAATCATATTGAAAGAAATTTTGTTCACTTTCACATTTCAGTTTCTAATTTCTGCATGTGTTGACTTCATTCATTAGAACTCTTAATTTCTCATATTTCTCCTTTCATATAGGAACCTTGACCTATTTTCTGTTTATTCCTCAATGTAATTTAATTGGAATGGTCTTGATGTCACTTAAGTTATTTTCTTTAGGTCTTCTACAACATTCTTAATTTAGAAAAGGAGATTCAAAAAGAAATTTTTTCCCTATACAGTCATGAAACCATTAAGATGTAAACCTATCAACTAATATATCCAGATATAACTGAATTCTACCAATATTAGTTACTTAAATTTTTTAGTTAGTTGAACTGTTGGGAAATTGCTAATTTATAACTCATTTTATAGCTGGAAAATTTTTCCATGATGACACAATTCCCAGTAGTATTCATCACTGTAACATGTTCAAGATATTTCTATATCCATATCTAATTTTGATCCTGGGATCTACGTCAGGTTCTCAATACCACCTCTAAAAAAGCTAGTATAATGAAAACAATTTTGGTCCAAACTGAGTGTTTGTGAGTTGTTCTTTAGTTATACTACTTCATTCTGATAGAACACCAATCCATTGCTTTTAACTTTGTTTCTGTTCTTCCTGAAGAAATTACATGTTATTTTTTCTCAGAATCATTTCCTTCTCTGTCAAGGACCCAAGATGAGATTATTCATGAAGTTAAAATGCCATATTTTTGTTGTTAAGACTTTATTTACACTAATTTTCAGAAAGATAAAAAAAAGAAAAATCAATAAAATTGGATGTTAAAATTAAGTTTTAAACCGATTGGCAAAATATTCAGCTTATTTAATAAGAACTGCCGAAATGCAAGCAGTGTAGTCTCAGGTAGTTATATTGGCTCCCTCAGGTGCAGACACTTCTAGAGCACTCATTCCTGATAAGAAAAACATCAAACACAACAAGGTTGAAACTTTCTGGAGATTTTGATTTCTTTCTGCTAAGTGTAGAAGGAACACAAATGATTAGGATTAGATCACATCCACATCTTTTAGAGAGAAACATAGTTCAACGGTTTCTCCCTTTGTGTTTTTATATATTCACCAAAAGAAAGGTATTTTTATATCTTAAATTATGGTTTAATACACAGTGGTTTATCACAGGCTACTGATTGGAATCATATGTATGTTAGTATCATAACTAATTTCTTCATTTTTCAGATAAAATATAACTGTATCAGAATCAGAGAATCAAATGGACTATAACTGCAAAATAAAATATATTTTTGTGAAGGTAAGTCCAAATGTCTTTGTTTCATGAGTGTGTGACAGCCATTGTTTTCTCCATGAAGTACAATAACTGTGTCTATCTTTTTTATTTTGATTCATCAGAAACTAATGGCAGTGAGGAACTTAACTAAGCAGTGATGACTGGTGGAGAGTGAGTGTGTTGCAGGACCTGTGTATTATTACAGAGAGTTTACAAAAAAAAATTCCATTGTTTCAGGTAGTTACATCCTCTCTGTTTTTAACAGTTTGTTATCACATTGCTTCATACAAACAAGATTTTCTGACATAATTTTCTATTCTTTCATGTCCTTCTCCCTTTTTATGCCTTGCATCTTCATCTGCTGTTTTCTAATTGCTAGGGAAGGCAGACAAGATGCTCCATTGGGAACAGATGGCTTTCTGGAAATCTCCCAACAAGGACTACTCCTGGAATAGATTTCATCTGCAAGCCCCACACAGAGGTAATATATGATACCTACAAATAGATAGTGCTCCAAAGGCTTAGGAAGGAAAAAAATATATCCTGCTGGAGTTCTTAAGGCTGTTATGACCACAATTGCCAACAGAGAGCAAGCATAAAAATGAATCCTATATATAGCATTCAATTTTTGAAGTTATTTTTCTTTACTTCTATATAATCTCTACAATAGGGACAGCTATCCTAAAATGGTTTCTAAAGGGCTGTGTTTTACTTCTCAAGGTGGATTAAGTTCAAAGCTTGAAATCAGTTATAATGTTATCCTACTTTAAAAAATGCTGTGAGATGGCACACAATATATGAAATAAATATTAAAGTCTGCACAGGAGTAAGAATAAATAATATAGAAACAAATATGTTGGATTACAGTGTGGGTGAAAAATTGTCATTGTTGTCTTGCTCTTCTATGTTTTGCACCTTTATTTAGTTCCATCATAGAGAGGAGAGATACTATTTGTAGCATATTTTAAAATACATATTTGTTTTTTTTTGTTTTGGTTCCGTTTTCCTTAATCTAAAATAAAATTTATTATAACCATGTTGTATATGGTTGCTCTGTGTGTCTGGAAAATATTATTCTGGGATTATGGATGAGGCTATAAAGCTGGGAGATCAGAGATATACTGTTTATGGTAAAAAAATACAAACTGTGAATAGTAAAGTGACAGCAGTACTCTGTATCCTCAGTATTCTAACCTCAGCCTTGAAATAATGTGTGGGTTACTTATTGTTCCTCTTCACAAAGCAAAATGTATATTAGAGAACACCATTTTTCATTATTTATGAAACAAAAATACTATGTTCTGGTTTTGTTTGGCTATAAATAAAAGTTAGTGAGAAGGAATCCTAAAAATTCAAATAATAGAATGCAAGTGCCAGAAAGAAACTATCAAAGTGTTAGAGGTTTTAAAATTTTGGACAAGCTACTTTTTTATGGAGGAAAAATGCCTTGACTGTCCTTTACCAAGTAAGGACTAACCATGTTATGATGACTTTTGGGTATTTGAAGTGATTCATTTTTATTATAAAGAGAAACGGGATCACAGAGTCCATGACTGACTAGCTTCAGTCTGAATCTGAACTGTGCCATGGTGTTACCATTATTGTTTACCCACTTGTACCATGCAGATTCTGTCATTCTGTTTTTCCTACAAGTGTACAAGTGGAGTCTTTACAGTCTTGGAATAAGTTAATGAGCACTGCAGTGCATAAATGAGGAAAATAAAGGCATTCCCAGTGAGATTTGATCACAATGAGCCATCTAGAGCCATTAAAAGTCACCAGCAGCTTTTACACAGTCACGACTGTTGCTGCAGATATGAGGGAAGGACTTGAAGGCAGATGTTGAAATATTTTTTGCAAAAATGCTGAGTCAGAGAGTGTAAGAATGACTTTTCTATTGATTCCACTAAGTGAAAAAAATAAAATCTGTAAGTGCACTTCCTTTCCTCTACACTTCAGAGAAATGTACAGACTGCACTAATAATTTAACTAAAGGATCTGAAATTCTCTTGAGATCTGAAATCCTCCTGAAAATGTTTTATTGACAAAATGTACTAGATCAGAGGTAAAGAGGTATATTATAAGCAATATAAATATAATTCCTCATTGATCATTGGATCTCACAAAGCCATCAAAGACATTAGAGATCCCCCACTAAGAGAAGTCTGTCCATGTTCTCAGATGGTCCTTCCACTGCCTTTTCCAATGGTGGTAAAGTCTGGGTGTGAAAAGTGTAAGTAATTTTACTTAACAACTTTCTCTACAAAAGCTGCATCTGCTGAGGCTTTGGTCAGAGAAATGTTCTCCATCAGCTGTGACTCTGTTGACCTTGGCTGTGTTTGAGTTACCAGCCTAGAGGTAAAAATTGCTCTTCCTAGCAATTAATTTCTCCAACAAGATTATAATCTTGAAACTGAAGCAAGACTATATTTCTGCATTTACCAGAAGCTTAACAATCTCTGTCAGGAAAAGTAGATTGATGTTGTTCCATTTCCTCTTATTATAGCTTCTGACATGGTAGGAAGTGGAATCTCTGCTCTTAACTCTTGGCCAGCAATCCTAGCTGTGGGAGGAACAAAGCCTTGAATACAGTCATTAAAATTCAATGCAACAATTACAGTTAATGTGCGTTAATTTGGGCATGTTAAGCTACTTACTATATGCCAGATATATTATTGTAACTGGCAATAACAAGGATATCATTTTTAGCAGTGTCACAGATTCTGTTAAGCAGAGACTCTGGTCTGAGTAGCTTGTTAATAAACATAATTGTCTAGTAATTTTGTCAGTGAGAGTGAATATTTTCTTGCTAATGCCATATTTTTGAAAGTTTTTGCACTTTAAATCTAAGTTATGAATTTTGATTTCCAGCAACTCATAGTTGCTAATTCTGAGTCCAAGCCACTGGCTGCTAAGGAAGTGCTAGAGATAGAAGTGATCAGAAGATCTTAAAAGTTGTCCTGAGTTTCAACTTTTATGTGTCATAAATTTTAAGTTCCTGTTCAGTAATGAAATTTCTATAATTTTGACATCTCAGCTCAGGTTAGCCTAAAATATTTGTCTGAGATTCACACTGAAGAACTCCAGAAGAATTTTTGTTTTCTAATGGTTCAGGCTTTGAATTGTGTGCATTTAATCTACAGTATTTATTTATATTCCTCTGTATTCATTATGAAAAATATCTGATGTATTACAATTGCTGGGATGACATTCCAGGACATACATGCAGTCATTTAGAGCATTTGAAAGTTTTTAGTGACCGCTTTAAGGCACCATAACAGTAAGAAACAATGCACTGTTCAATTAATCACTCAATATTGATGGAATAACTAACAGGTAAATTAACAGGGAAAAATCAACCTTCCTTGAACCTGGTTATCTTCATTTATATGGTAGATTTCATTTATTCCCCATTCTATTACAATCGATAATTCTTGAAAGCTACAGCCTTGAAATTTAAATGGATGCTATAATTTGAAACAACTTGTGAGTGCTACTGTGTAAAATTTAGTAGTGAATATGCATATAGCTAATCAAGCATATGTTCTGTAGTCAAACTGGTCAAATAGTTCTGTACCTTTCAGAAAAGACACAAAAAATGAAAACTGCTTTTGTTTCCCACAGAATCATTAAAATGAGGGGGAAAAAATTATCTATTATGTTAAATTGTCTGGTAAGAGTACTTTGACAATTATTTTCAAGAATGTATTTAAGTTAACTGAAGCCAAATTGTTCTTCACATACCTCAGAGGTGCACAGCAGGCTTCCAACAATTCATACAACAAATAGCCTATTCCTTGATTCATGGGGAATTTTTTTTCCCTGTCATGGAACTATTTTCATTTTGTGACAAAAAGTAGGTTTTTCGTATCATATCAGAGACAGAAATCTAGTCACACAAAGGTAGGGTACATTCATATTCATATTAGTATGTTTGACCCAGATATCTGCACACCACAACATATGATTGACAATGTGAGACATGTTATACAAATTTTCTTCAATTTATTAAATTTTCTAAATAAAGTGATATTTCTGTCATGGGATAAGAGATAGGTGATATCATGTACTTGAATTACTCTGTAAGAATCTGTCTTAATAAGATACAGTATTGCAGGGTTATCTCATAATTTTATAGAAAATTAATATTTGCTACTAGATGAGCCCTTTTCAAAATTGATCCAAGATTTTCCTTGTTTCCATGTCCACTGGAAGTGTATTCTCTTTGGGTATTCCTGGTAATTAGCATTCTCCAGTGTTTACTCCTCATTTAAGTTTGGGGAACTTGCAAATTCCATTCTGGTTGCTCTGTGCCAAACAGCTACATTTCACTTATAAGAGCTTTGCTTCTGAAATAACACTTTCATTTGCACAGTTGTTTATGCTTTTCCTCTTTGATCTACTTTTGTTTGTTTACATCTTTCTCTCATTTTAGAGCTCATATTATATATTCCTTACTACTCTAGAGAAAAAAGTTATCTCCAATTTCGATTACCCATTATTCAAATCATGCTGAATTATTTTGCTGTGAAAAATATTAATATAAATATCCCAATATAATTTAGCAATTTACTGATCTATAGATCTACAAATATAAGCCATATAAATAGCAAAGCCAAATTCAAGTAAAGAACAGGACTCTGTAGTTGGAAGAAGTTTGAGTAAAAGGGAAAGCTTTCAGCTAAAGTTTTTATGCTAAATCATTCTTACACATAATCATTCCTATACATGCTCTACTCTCCAGTCAAATTTGGAAAATATTCAAAAAATTTACCCCTGCAATAAAAATTGTGCAGGCTTCTTCATTTCATCACTGGTCTGCAACAAGCTAACATAAGTCACCATCAAAAAAGATGAGTCTGACTGTTTGAATACCTTAATGTCCTGCAGCAAGGTGATTTTCAGAATTTACAAATGAATTCATGCTTTCTGCAAAAGACAGCTGAAATTGGCATATGTTGTGTTTCTGGTAAGAATTCCACACAATCGTTTATCTCAGTACAGCATTAAATGTTTATTTACAGTGGCTAAAAAATGCAGTATTTCCATATATTTTCTTTCTGATCAAGAAATCCATAGATTGTACTCTCCTATTATTTTGGGTTTCAGTTTTATTCCCTAAGAATTAAAATGTAAACACCCTAATGAACTGTCAGTTTTAAAACATGTCACTACTATTTATCAAACATGATTTAAAAAATAATTTAAAGAAAAACCGTATCAAAAAAAATTTTTAAAATTTAAATAAGATGTTCACAATACCAGAAGATGAAGTTTTACTAGATATCAAATAGCTTTGTTCTCAGTCTCATGTAAACAAGAACATTGTTACTTCATTTGGTACTTTATAGCTATTGTCAACAAGAAGTCATTAGCAGTCTTTCATCTACAGAAGGCTAAACAAGATTGGATGAATGGAATAATATTTTTCATGAAAATATATCAACTCTTTTCTATCTACAAATATAATTTATTGTTTTATAAACTATCTTAATGTCTTAAAAATTCATATCCTTAAATGGAGTAAATCAATCCTTTTTGAAAAGGGAATGTGACAAAAAGAAAATGGGGCTATGAACTATTTAAACATAAACTAGGAAAAATGTCATTTTTAAAACATTGAAGAAACAAATTTATTGCAGTTAAGTTGCAATTATTTATTTTTCTTTTCTGGATCTAAATGTCATCACTTTTTACTGTCTGGGAAATAATATTTTTTGTGCCTTTATGTTTATAATTATAAATGGTTTAAAAAAGAGTAGAAATTTTAAGAATATATATTTTTAAAAAGAACCCAAAAAAGTGAAGTTGAGATGAAATAAACAAAACAAAACAACCAACCATGACCAACAAAATAAAACCCAGTCAAAAATACCCTCATGAGAAGCGCAATGTCCTGCTCAATTTTTTGATTCCCTGTGTCAGGAATCCCTGTTGTTAAAAGTATCAGAGAATATTCTGAATTAGAAGTCGCCCACTCTGATCATCAAAGTCCAACTCTGGTCCTGTGCAGGTGTGCCCAAGAGGCACATCATGTTCCTTAGAGCTCTGTCCAAACACTTCTTGAGCTCTGTCAGGCTGGTGCTGTGACCACTGCCCTGGGGAGCCTGTTCAGTGCCCAGCCACCCTCTGGGGGAAGAACCTTTTTCTAATATCCAACCTAAACCTTCCTGACACAACTTCAGGCCATTCCCTCAGGTCCTGTCCCTGTCACCACAGAGCAGAGATCAGTGTCTGCCCCTCCTCTTCCCCTCACAAGGAAGCTGTAACTGCAGTGATGTCTCCCCTCAGTCTCCTCCAGGCTGAACAAACCAAGTGACCTCAGTCACTCCTCACACAGCTTCCCCTCAAGGCCTTTCCTTCACTGGGGAAGACCAGGCAGCTACAGAAGCTGAACTGAGTGGCACTGCAGACCTTTTGGCCCTGGTACAGTGAAAACCATGGGAGAGATAAACTGAAGTCAAGAACAGAAGTGAAGACATCATGTCCGATCACTCTGACCCTCTGATGCTGACCACTCTGATGAGGGAAGGTGTAACGAGGACTTTGCTGGTGAAATAGATAACAAGGATATTACTAGCATAAGAAGGATAATCAAGATTGTGTGTCTAAGGGGACCAGGGCAAAGCGGTCAGAGTGGAAAATTTTGTACAAACATAGTGACCTACAATACTGGTACACTTGTGTAATAAACGGCTTTGCTTTGCTGGCGTAGCAGAGTCCGTGTTCTCAATGCCCACATTTCACCATCTTTGTTGCCCTCCCTTGGACACTGCAGTAGTTTAATGTCCTTCTTACACTGTGACACCCAAACTGCCCCAGCACTGGAGGTGAGGCTGCCCCAGCCCAGAGCAGAGCAGGACAATCCCCTCCCTGGCCTGGCTGGTGATGCTGGGCCTGATGCCCCCAGGACAGGGTTGGCACTCCTGGCTGCCAGGGCACTGCTGGCTCCTGTTCAACTTTGTATGAGCCAGGACCCACAAGTGCCTTTATACAATGCTGCTCTCCAGCCTCCCATTCCCCAGTCTGTCTGTACATCCAGGGTTGCCTGGATGCCCTGGGGCAATATCTTAGTGTCCCTTCTGGCCCTACCTAGAAGTCATCTATGAAGATGTAGAAGAGCACAGGGCCCTTCTATGAACCCCTCTGGTGACAGTCTGATATCACCCCATTCACTGAAACGCTTTGTGACCGACCCATGAGCTAGTTTCTCACCTGTTTCATGATGTGTTTATCCAGCTGTGGGCTGGACATTTTGTCCAGAAGGATCCTGTGGGAAACAGTATTGAAAGATCTGCTGAAATCCAGAAAGATTGCTTCCTTTGGTCAACTGGATGGGTTACCTTGTCATAAAGGGAAATCAGGTTTGATAAGCAGGACTTTCATAAAGTCTTGCTAGCTGTGAGCAAAAACTGCATTGTCTTTCAGGTGTTTTTCTATACCTTCCAGTATAATATTTACTGTAATTTTACCAGGGAGAAAACTAAGATTGACAGGCCTGTAGTTTCCAGGGTCATCTTTTTTGCCCTTTTTGAAAATTAGGACAAAATGTAGGAGGAACATTTGCAGCTGCAAAAATTCTGCTGAACACTGAAAGAAAACAGTATGTCTTTTTATGTCATTTAAAGAAAAACAAAAAATTCCCCTTTTCAGTGTGAAAAAGAAAGACATTTTAGTCATTAGGGGACCCAACAACATACTTTCTCAGTGAAACCCCTTCAAAGGCTGATAGAAAAGGATAACTCTAAGGAGTCACTCAGAGATACCTTCTCTGCTGACT